TGAGGCGGAGGTGCGGGCGGCGGCGGGCGGGGCGGACGACGTGGCGGCTGAGGGCGGGCGGGAGCAGGTAGGAGCTGCAGAGGCGGCTGTGGAGGTGGCGGGGCAGGCGCAGGATGGCGCTCAAGGGGCAGCGCAGGGCGGCGAGCAGGGTGACGCGGGGGGCGAGGCTGAGGTTGTGGCGAAGCTTCTCGCCCTGGGTCTGCCCGACATCAGGGCCCCCGCCGCAGTGGCCGGCGCCGAGGCGGCAGCTGCCGAGCAGCTGCAGGAAGCTGCCTGCAGCGCCTGCGACTGGGCCGTGCTTGCGGCCGAGGCGCTGGGCCTGCCGCCCGAGCGCGTCGACGCGGTGTGCGGCGGCGTGCAGGCGGCGACGGAGGAGGCGGGCGGGTGCCGGCGGTTTGTGGGGATGGAGTACCCGAGACTGCGGCGCGCGTGCGCGGCGGGGGAGGCGGGGCTTGTGAGGGCCTGGATGGAGCGCGTGGCAGCGCGCGGCAGGTGAAACGTGCGGTTGCCGCGAGCTGCCGCTCTCTTTTGCAAACAGATGCGGAATAATGCCACGTGTGCATGCTGCAAATGCGTGTTTGTTTCGGGACTTTTGGCGTCGCACCGCTGATCCTAGTCAGCCTGCATTGATGGGTCTGGTGCTGTCAGCACGGCCTGCGAGAGCACGATTGCTTGGTTTGGTCGGCCAGGTGGGGCCTAATGCTGCGACTCAGGCCCCCTGATTGTACCTAGATCTGAATAGGCTTGTCCAGTAGTCCAGTGTGCATGCAAGTTATCAAGTCACATCACGGCCATAGCGCCTTCCCCGCAGCCCGCTGCGACATACGAGCCGCCCACTTGTGAAAGATATCACGCCACGCATGTGTTAGGTGATTGTGTGTCAGTTCGTGCCTGCCCTGCAGACGTTGTCCCAATATGTTGTTGAAGATCCACGAGGTATGATGTCCCATTTTTATGGCACCCTACGTGGTGATGTTGGTGTAAAGGGTTTCAAGTAGGACTACCAAACAGGGCGCAGCCGGCACCCAGCAAGCCCTGTGTGTTGCGCTATTCCCGAGCAAGGGCAGTCTGCCTGTCACATACGCAAGCAGTCTGAGATCAAATGCCAGAATAGCAAACAGACTCCTGCTTTTTTGACCAACAAAGGTATAACAGATTCAGCATGTATTGTGCCGGTGCTCTCCGAATGGCGCGGCAAGCCCTGGCGCACACCCCGTCAACTCAACTCCTGCAGCCTCGGTGGTTATCAACTGAACTCGACATGAAAGGTGCTGGCAAGTCGCACTGTTGCTCCTCACAGATACTCACAAGAGTTATTCAATACCTGATTAAGTTCATTTTGATTGGTTTGGGTGAAGATACAGTAGGTGAGAACAAGTGTGGCAGAAACTCTCGTCGTGTGCACTTCGTGGTGCTGTTGGCTCGTTGGAAGACGAACTCATTTGTGCGGCACGACGTTGAGTTTTGTTGACAATCGGTCACGCATCTAAGCAAACCTTTAGGTATAGATCCTGGGACCGGATTAAATGCGCAGGAAGCTTGCTCTTGTGCCCTTGTCAGCTCTTGAAGATGGATGGACCGACCTGAAGCCTGATGCACCAGTCTGTGGCACCTCTGCGGGGGCGCAACATGGGCTCCAGCCCGGCGTGAGCGCAAGCAAGCGACCGCGCCTTGCAGCGGGCAGCGGCAGCGGCAGCGGCCGCAGCAGCGGCAGCGGTCAACTCATCCACCCCTGCCTCAGTTCAGTGGTTGTCCACTGAACTGGACATGAAAGGTGCTGGCAAGTCGCACGTGTTGCTCCTCACAGATATTCACACGAATTACTTAGTACTTTGTTGAGTTTCTCTTGATTGGTTTCGGTGGAGATAGGTCAAGACAGTATGTGTAGCAGGAAATCTCGTCGTGTGCACTTCGTGGTGCTGTTGGCTCGTTGGAAGACGAACTCATTTGCGCGGCACGACGTTGATTTTTGTTGACAATCGGTCACGCACCTACATAAACCTTTAGGTGTAGATCCGAGGACCGGATCAAATGCGCAGGAAGCTTGCTCTTGTGCCCTTGTCAGCTCTTGAAGATGTATGGACCGACCTGAAGCCTGATGCACCGGTCTGCGGCAGCTCTGCGGGGGCGCAACATGGGCCCCAGCCCGGCGTGAGCGCAAGCAAGCGGCCGCGCCTTGCAGCGGGCAGTGGCAGTGGCAGCGGCAGTGGCAGCGGCAGCGGCAGCGGCAGCGGCAGCGGCAGCGGCAGCGGCAGCGGCAGCGGCAGCGGCAGCGGCAGCGGCAGCGGCAGCGGCGGCAGCAATGAGCAGCCGCCCCCCGGCACCCCGCAGCAGGGCCCGTCGGCGCCCGCAGCGGCCGAGGTGCACCCGAAAGCGCGCTGCGCGGCGGCGTCGCCAGCAGTTGAGGACGATGAGGCCGTGAGCAGCGATGTGGGTGACTCAGAAGCTGAGGAGGAGGAGGAGTGGGACCAAGGTGAAGACGAGGAGAGCGCCGGGTGCAGCAGCGACAGCGGCGATTGGCTGGAGGCAGGCGCCGCGCCCCACCGCCGCGGCGGCCGGGGCCGCGGCGGCCGAAGCGGCGGCGACGGCGGTGGCGGCAGCGGCGGCGAAAGAGGAGGCAGTCCAGGCGTTCATGGTGGCGGCGGAGGTGAAGGCGGCGGCGGCGGCGGTGGCGGCAACAGCGAAGTTGATGGCGGCGGCACTGGTGCTGGCAGCACGGCTGAGGGCAGCTTCTTCCCGACGGTGCGGTCTCCAAAAACTGCGTGGCACGTGCGATATCGCTTTCAGGAACCATTCAAAGGGTGCCCTGCAATGCCCACTGTTTAGTTCGCTCGTCCGAGCGTCAGCCCAGCGGCGCAACCCTCGCCCACGCGCTGCAACCCCACGCCGCCGGGCGCCCGCCGCCCTCGGCGCCGCCGCCGCCACGCAGGGGCAGCAGCTGCGGATTGGGTTCAAGCGCGGGGGCAAGAAGAGCTTTGTCAGGGGCTTGCGCATGCCCCGGGCCCTGCTGCTCGCCCTCTTCCCCGCTGAGCTGGCGGGCTGGCCCTTGGCCACCCCCCTGCCGCGGCAGCTGGACGTTGATGTTCAAGTGGTGGTCGACGGGCGGCCCTGGGAGCGGCGCTTCCGCACACACGTCAACGTGGGTCACCAGATCACGCGCGGCATGTCCGCCCTGCGGGAGCTGGCGGCCGCGGGCTGCAGGTTGCAAGGGTTCCGGCTCGTGGCAGCGGCGGCGGCGGGGGCGGGGGCGGGGTCGTTCGAGGTCGTGGTCACGCGTGGTCATGGGG